GAGAGAGAGAGAGAGAGAGAGAGAGAGAGAGAGAGAGAGAGAGAGAGAAAGGTTTCACAAACATGACATCATTGGAATTAATGAAGACTCTACCCTGCTTCACCCTGGACTGCCAAGTCACACCAGCCAATACATTCCCTTTGCCTTAGGCTGGGGGTCCTGACCTCTCAGACAGGGTGGGTGGGGGTGGAGGGCAGCACTGGAGTAAGGAATGACCATATTTCTGTAGACAGGGAGAGGAAAAAGCAGTAAGGCCTCTGAAGAGCAATTCTGACTGTCTATTCCTGTAATTACAACGACATCGTTCCTGCTTTATACTCCAATTGTCTTTGTGCCAATAAGCATTTAAAGGGGACTGAATGTATATCTTGTCACATGGTTCCCTTTGAGTGTAGATCTGCAGTGACTGTGTTCAGGGTGGTCCTGCCTCTCCTGTGGTTTATAAGTCCCCACAGGGCCTGGGGTTTCTTGCTCCCATATTTTTCCTCCAGTCATTAACTGTAACATTCATACTTTTGTTTTTGTAGGATGCATTGTGTTTTGCAAAGCACTTTCATCTGCATTATCTCATTTGATTCTCAGGGTATCTATGAAGAAGGCAGGGCCCGGATTTCTGTTCCTGTCAGAGTGAAAAACAGAGGCTCAGGCCCTGGGATCTTAGCACCAAAGAGGAGGACATGGGCGGAGCTTGTGCAATAATCTCACAGGGAATGAATGGCACAGACCTGGAAGGATCCCTGGATTTGGAGCCAGAGGCCCAGGCTTGAGTCCTGGCTCTTCCTTATTAGTTATCTGACTTTGGGCAAATCACTCAGTCCCTCCCAGTCTCAGCTTCCCCATCTGTCAGATATAGGAATATCTTCCTTCAGGGATTCTTGAGACTATCACAGGAGATGATATGGAACAAAGGGTACTGTCAGCCGTAATATGCTGCTCACCTGTTTGGGGCTGATTTTTATGAGCAATGGGCAATATTTTGCTGAGTTCAGCTAGTATAGCTCCCAAGAGCTGTAGTACGCACCTCCTTTCAACTTAACATTGATGACATCATGTTGGTGACTTGAAATCAGCCACAGTGAGAATATTTACACCAAGGAAATTAGCAAATGCTACAAATCAGCTTTGTTTTTCCTTGGAGTGTCAGTTGTTAAGCAGCACACAATGACGCTGGGGATGGATGGGGAGAAGGAAAGGATATAGAGTACTAACATTTAAGGTGCATTGTATATATCGAGTGCACCCTTATAGTATCTCCATTAGTCCTCACAACAACTCCTGGGGGCAGACACTGACCCTATTCTATAGATGAGGTAATTAAAACTTAGAGAGACTTCATAACTGTTCAAGAACACACAATCAATAACAGCAGAAATTCAAAGTCAGGTCTCACATTCTCTTTGATAACCATGCAGCATCCCAAAGATGCATCCATTAGCCTCTGTTCTTTCCCTGATCTCCAACCAAGCAATAGTGAGATATTAAATCAGTTTCTAGGACCACTTAACATTGATGGATGTTTGGATGTCAGTATCTTGGTGTTCAAATACAACTGGCTTGGAGAAAGATGGGGGTTGTTGTAGTACATTGAGCTGGGTACAGGGAACGGGCTGACTGTTTTTGAGACCCACAGTTTTGTGTCTCAATTGGGTAACTGCTTCAGGGTCCCAGAAATTAGGCAACACTATTAGGTTGGAGCCACCTGAAACATTCAGGCATGGGGAGGGAGAAAGTCAAGAGCACCTGGGTCCAAGTGCCATCCCTGCTACTTTACCTAGCTGAGGTTCAGCTCCCTCATTTGTCAAAGGGGGACAGTATCCACACATACCTGCTTGTGGGGGGAGGATTCTGAAGGCCTCTGGAATCTGTTACACTGCACAGTGTAAGGGAATTATCATGTGTCTCAGTGAGAACCTCTCCTCTTGTTGCTAAGGACTGTTTTTCTTTCCTGCCATCTCTGGCTCTGTGCACACCCCCCCCCC